ATTTTGTCAATGATGTAACCCAGAATGCCTGTTGTCTTATTTACAATTTGAGGAAAAATAGCAGTTGGGAAGCCAAAAGATGTCACCTAATGGCGGTCGTAACACAAACTCTGACTTCCATCTGCAGCAACTGTTCTCTCACGCAGGCAGTTGAACTGGCCAAATTTGGACACTTTTGGTTTTTGCCTGTTTGGTGAACAGTGAAAGGCTCGGATTCAAGACAAAACTCATGGTGAACGCAAACTCGAAGCTCATCCCAACTTAGGAACTGGCATTGCACGTTTCACTTTCCAACTTGGAATGTGCGCTACATAGAGATATACCTAGGTAATGATGCACTTGCTATACGTATACATTGCCTGGGAGGTTCTAAAAGTATGTAATGTCTTATAATAGAGGGAATAAGGAGCAGTCCTGTTAGCTTTGTCTCATTATGAATGAGATCTTCTCATCCTGGAACATTTTCCACATCACTTTAAACTACTGCAAACTAGAGGATGGAGGGACGCAGATGACTCAGAGTAAAATGTTTGTGCCATTTCTTGGTTGAAAAGGACATGGTCAACTATCACTTGTTAAGAGATGCTCCAGGATTATAGAAGATCTCTGTAATAACAATTTGTTTCTAACTATCAAGTATTGAAAGCACACTTCTGTGTAGTCCTTTTTAGTGGTTTTTGTTATTTAAAATTTTACTAAACCCATGACCTTGCTTTTACTATATCCAGTCTTACACAGTACACAGAACATGGAAATGCAATTATTTTAGTAAATATAGTTTTCATTCTCCTCTGACTGTCCTTTGAGGCTGCATAACCCCTGAACCTCTGTCTGGACAGCGCTAATTGGCCCTGTGCCGTTCACATGCACTCTCCCAAGTAAAGAAAAAAAAACAAACCGCTTTGCTTCCACAGTGAGTATAACAAGCATGCTTTACTGCATATCCAGACTGATTCTCCTGTTGTGGGTTTAATAACACTTGAAAGCTTTACATATTAAATGAACATGCAGAAACAGATAAGTTACTATCCTACAATATCCTATATCAAAAATCCCCTCCAATTCTTGCATCTCTATTTCACCAGAGTAACAAAACACACTATTGCTGATCACCCTTAAGTATTCATGCCTAGAAAAAGGAGTCCTGTTGGTAAAGACACCATTTGAAGTACCTGCTGATGCTGAAGGACACATAGGGGGACATTTACTAAAACTGGAGGACTCGATCTGGTGCAGCTGAGCATAGTAACCAATCATCATTTCAGCTTGTTCAATTAAGCTTTGACAATAAAACCTGGAAGCTTCTATGCAGAGCTGCATCAGGTTGTGTGCACCAGTTTTAGTAACCCCCCCCCCATATTCTCCCATCACTGCTGGATGTTTGCTAAACTGAAAATGCATGATTGTCTGTGATATTTAGTATGTATTGCAGTAGTATTGTTTTGCAGGGTCATAGCAGGTTCCCACATCTCATTTCCCATGCTCTTACTGATTAATTAGTTCATTCGCTAAATTATAATGAAGGTGGTTGCTTTAAACATTGTGTAGGCCACTCTGGGTGAATTAACCAATTATTTTTTCACTGTGGGAATAGGGCCAAATGAATCTGTAATGAACAGATCTCTGAGAATCTCCATTAGCTGTACATAGCCTGCATTGGCTTGAATATTCAAATTTCTGAATCGATTAGCTTATCTTATCTGTTCATATTAATAATACTTTGCAATATCCTATAATTGTTGTATATTTTGCTTGCACAAACCCTTTAATTGTTTATTGATAACTTTGTACTTATAAATATATAGCAAATTCATTAATATGTAAACAATAACCCAAATAGTGATCCAAAGCAAAATATATGGGGTGGAGTGATTCCAGTGGCAGAACTACCAGGGTTGCAAAAGTTGTATTTGCAACTGGGCCCTGGCATTCTCATACCTCCCAACTGTCCCTGATTTCGAAGGACTGTCCCTGATTTGGAACAAAGTCCCTCTGTCCCTCATTCCTCCTCATTTGTCCTTCATTTTGGTTTGATCTGTATAGTTGTACATAAAATACACTTTCAAAAAGTGTTTTCACAGTGCAAAACTTTTCATCCAATTCTAAATTGTTGCATTTGTAAACTTCAAAAGTCAATATAAAGAAATAGTAGTGATTAAAAAAAGCATTGTGCATTTAACTAATTTAAAAAAAAAAAAAATTAAGGAGGTGTGGCAGGGAGTTTGTCCTATGCCTACATACATTTGCTAATAGGTGTCCCTCATTCCCATCTTAAAAAGTTGGGAGATGTGCGCTCTGCCACAGTGGGGGGGGGGGGGGGGGCGGAAGACGACAGGAAGGGGGCCTACTGTAGAACATGTGAAAGGGTCCAGCTCCGGGACCATAATAAGGAGCCCTGTGGTCAGTGGCTAGGGGTCAGGGGGGCCTTTCATGATTTCTTGCACTGCGGCCCTGAAGGTTTTAGTTATGCCTCTGATACACTAACAAATGTCGCTGTTACTAAAATTTGCTACTAAACTGTAAATTGCCTAGTATTCACCAGAACACAACCTTGATAAAACCTTGTGACAGCAAATATTAGAAAATTATTGAATTTAAAAGACTGATAAATTTGCATGGTGTAGAGTGTCAAAATGGAAGTGAGTGCTGGGGACAAAGTAAATTGCACGTTGTGGGATAATTATATTTAACTTCCACACCACTCACCAATTACAAGATTCAGTGATTTGTCATGATTTGTCAGGTGTACTAGTTGGAATTCAACCAAAAATAGTGCTGCTTACGAAAGTGAACATAAGTGTTGAAAATTATTTGCCAGCATATCAGTAGCCTATTGTGCCCATATTGTTCAAAACATTCTATTCCACTTAGTATTGTATACTTTCCTATTTACTTATCTCATGAATCTGTATTTTAAGAAGAACATTGATCACTGGTTTGGTCTTAATGACAACCCTTTTTTCAAGGTGGGCTTGTTAGCTCCTTACCCAAACCCCAACCTTGAAGCTCTCATTATGTCTGGGTTGTCACTGGAGACCTTGTTGGCATAGATGGACCTACCAATAGCCATATAGCTTTGCCATTGCCAGTATAGCTTTTAGGTTAATTTGTCCAAACTAGATCATCCACTATGTCAAAGTAGGAGCACCTCAGGGGGAAGGGGGGTCATTTAAGCATTCACAAATATTCCAGATGTCCAATTTCACAATTGCCTACTAATCATTTATTTAAGGAAAATCTTTGACAGGCTGAAACAATAGATGAATTTGTTTCCTGGTGGGTAAAGCTCAGCAGTTTAATCAAAAGTATTGATATTTTATGTGTTTACACTATTGTTTAACCTCTAAGGCATTACAGTTTGTGTACTGTTTGGGAAATGACTTATTCAGTAGCAGCCACCCACATTGTATTGAGGAGTGCAACATCACTTTCATCCTTTCAGACCTCCAGAGGGGTCCTTTGTAATGAGAACAGTGAACTGCCTGCTTTTCAGGGGAAAAAGCAGAATACATCTTCATAGGTATAGTGATAAATACTGGCAACACTCAAATCTAGCATATGTAAATATAATTTAGATAAAGCTTCATTGTGCATATTTAGGGCCCTTTCATACTGATACATTTTTGCTGCGCTTTTACCCTGCTAAAAGAACAAAAAAAACACAATTATTTCCCTTTAAATCCAATGAACTCTTTACACTAGTGTGCTGCGGGTGCAGTGTGCTTTTTAAAATCCCTGTATGCTGCATCTTGGGTGCTCTGTTTAAAAACCCTTTAAAAAAATGCACCTACCATTGAAATCATCGGAAAAAAAAAAAAACATAAAAAAAGGTACCACACTTGCATTTTTGGCACTCTTTTTTTTTTTTTTTTTTTTTTTTTTAATCACATGTCCATGTTTCACATATGCTGGGAGCCAGGCAACCACAAAATGCTTCAAAAGGGCATATGCATATAGAAAAAGACAATGTGCGCTAAAAAAAACCAAACAAAATATCCACTAAGCTGCTGCAATAACACTTATAAGTGATCCCACACTCAAAATAAACCTAGCTCATAAATGCAATATTCATGTACATATAAACATATCAACATTATAAGTACTTTCCCTGACAAAGCTACTTGGTTGGTGGTGTAACGCTTGGGGCGGAGCTTAGTGACATCATTATCGGTCACATGATCAGACCGGAAGTTCTCTGATTGTGATTTATCTGAAGTGTTATTCCCTACATGTTTTTAGAAGATTAAAACGGTATTACACTATGGGATCTGTCCTTTTCTTCCTTAGATGTAGAGTTTTTAATCTGGGAAGATATTCGTTTCTATTGTGTCATCTATGGAGGTGCCTTTATGAGCTCTTTGCTGCCATCTGGAGCCTTTTTGATGGAATCATTTTGCTTGGTTGACCTATATTAATTTATAGGTCCATACTATGAGGTGAGCAGCCATCCTTATCCATAGGTAGAGGTGCACAGATTTCACGGTGAAGCAATGAAGTTTTTTGGAGCACATTCTATATCAAGCACATTTAATCAAGCACAATAATTGATTGAACTATCAGAATTATAAGGATTTTTATTGTATATTTTTGAAATGTTTACATGTACATGAATATTGCATTTATGAGCCAGCGAAACACTGTTTTTCAAAAACGCATGTGCGTTTTTACTGCAGAGCAGTGGTAAAGGGCCCTAATGCACTAATTTTATCCACTTGCTTACTGGGAACTTATTAATCCCTCCCTGCCAAGGCTAATTTTCAGCTTTCAGAGCAATCGTACTTTGAAAGACAATTGCGTGATCATGCAACACTGTACACATGTGAAAATTTTTTCACACAAATAGAGCTTTCTTTTGGTGGTATTTAATCACTACTGGATGTTTTATTTTTTGCTAAACAAACAAAAGTCTGACAATTTTGAAAGGTTTTTTTTTTTAGTTATTATAAAACTTTGCAAACAGGTAATTTTTCTCTCTCACTGATGTGCATTTGATGAGGCTGCACTGATAGACTGCACTGATGGGCACTGATAGACTGCACTGATGAGGCAACACTGGTGGGCATTGATGAGGAAGCACTGACGAGGCTGCATTGATTTGTGTCACTGGGCAGCAAGGGCACTAATAGGTGGCACTGACTGGCGACACTGGGCGCAGATTGGCAGCACTGCTGGGCACTTTTAGGGCTGCACTGATAATCCGTGCCCTGATTATCAGTGAAGATGTCTCCTTTCAGACTTGCTGATTATCGGCAATACTTGCCTCACTCTGTGTCAGCGTGAGGAAAGTACTGCCGATAACCAGCAAGTGTATTTACATGGTGATCAGCTGTGATGGGACACAACTGATTACATGGTAAAAGGCCACTGTGATTGACCCTTTTACCATGTCATATAATCAGCTGTGTCCAAAGGACACAGCAATCAGAGAGCTCAGGGTGCATTCTGGGAGGATGTCCTATGACACCCTCCCAGAACTGGACAACCATGCTGTAGCCCTCATTTGGCTATAGAGCAGTCAGGAAGAGGTTAATATACATTGTCCTACTGATCAAAGAAAAGGTAAAAATGTAACTGATATCCTTACTACTTACAGTTGTCAGAGATGCACTATTGCACCCTTTTCTATAATGTTAATACTTTGAAAGTACTTTGCTGCCTACAGATTGATCATCTTCAAATGTCTACTGGCCTTAAAGATGAAAATGGAGTGGGTACAAAAAAGTGTTCTGTTATCACTAGGCCTTCCCATTTAAAACAGATTTCAAAAAGGCAACTGAAAAAGTTTGCTGGCATTCTAAAATCAATTCTTTATTTGGTAGCCAGTCAGTTGTCAGTCACTGCATAAAAGACAGATACAAAACAGAGCACACACAGTATGCACAGAATTTAAAGCACAAGTAGACCAAGCAGTACAGAGCACACACATAGCACAGACAGCAAAAAGCCAACATACCACAATGTACATAGAAAATAACAGCATGTAGCATAGCTCCCCATTGCCCCTTATTTGGGGCTTTTGACTGCCCCTGTTTTGAGACCAAATCATTCTGTCCCTCATGCAGCCTCAGTTGTCCCTCATTTTGGTCTGATTGTTACACAGGACTTTTTTTTCAGCCAGGACATGGAGGAACAGAATTCCTCCACCTATGGCTGTAGCCTTGTGCACTCCACTATTTTTTACTCTCACTTCTGGCTTCTGTGTTACGGCTTCCATGCCAACACTCATCTCTCAGCAGCTCTAACAGAACTCTCCCTGCCTGGCTCTGAGTGGGGACATGGGGGGGGGGGGGGAGCTGCTGGCGCACAGTGTGTGTATACTGGCTGCAGGGGAGGGCATCCCATGCGGAGCTGCAACCTTGTGTCCAGATACTGATGCCCCCTGCTGGTTGATCTTGCTGCCGCTCAACAGCGCTCAACAGGTGCTGGATACTGGGGAAGAAGCAGAGCCACAAAATGCTGCTGAGAGGTGAGCAGATGGGGGGAGGGGTGGGGAGGATCATGTTTGCAAAGGTGGGGGCTGTTCTGGTGTAGAAATGAGAACTGAAGAATATGACTGTAGAGCTGGTGCAGATATAAGCTGTGGAAAAGGGCTGCAGAAGTGAGCTTTGGATGGGGGTTCAGAGGTGCACTCTCAACATAACACATTGATTCCTGCATTCTGAGCGTAATGCACTCCTGAACCCTGCTTTGAGATGGTGAACTTTCATTCTCTGCAAAAGGCGCTCCTGAACCCTGCACTCTTTGCATAAATGCACTCCTGAACCCTGCATTGAGCATAACGCCTAGTGAACTTTCATTCTCTGCAAAAAGCACTCCTGAATCCTGCACTCTCTGCATAAATGCACTCCTGAACCCTGCATTCTGAGCATAACGCTCTAGTGAACTTTCATTCTCTGCAAAAAGCACTCCTGAATCCTGCACTCTCTGCATAAATGCACTCCTGAACCCTGCATTCTGAGCATAACGCTCTAGTGAACTTTCATTCTCTGCAAAAGGCGCTCCTGAACCCTGCACTCTTTGCATAAATGCACTCCTGAACCCTGCATTCTGAGCATAACGCTCTAGTGAACTTTCATTCTCTGCAAAAAGCACTCCTGAATCCTGCACTCTCTGCATAAATGCACTCCTGAACCCTGCATTCTGAGCATAACGCTCTAGTGAACTTTCATTCTCTGCAAAAGGCACTCCTGAACCCTGCACTCTTTGCATAAATGCACTCCTGAACCCTGCATTCTGTGCATAACACACTCCTGATTCCTGAAATCTGAAGTGTAGCACACTGCTGAATGTTGCAATCTGTACATAGCTCACTCCTGGACTCCTCATTCTGAACAGAACGCACTCCGGAACCCTGCATTCTGAGCGTAGCACATTCCTGAATTCTGCACTCTATATGCATTCTGTGTGTAACACACTTCCAAACCATGCTTTCTGAGCAAAATGCATTGAACCCTAGATTCTATGCATAGCACAACTCCTGAACACTGCACTTTGTTTAATAATGCCCATTTTTAGACCCTTCCGCTGGTACAATTTGGCAACACCCACACTATGACACCCATTTGGGGGGAGTGGTGGGGGTGGGGGTATTTCTGCACCTATTCTCTGAGAGAGAAAAAAGTCCTGTCTGTCAATCTCTATACAACATGTACTATTTTACTATCAGAAGTGTTAAATGCACTAAATGTTATATAGCTTCTTTATTTCTTTAACACCAAAATAAAAGAAGATATAAAAAATATAGGTCTTAAAAGCACTTTTGCAATTTGGCCAATCATTTTTTGGATCTTTGTGGTCCATGTAATTGGGGACAGTGGCTTATAGGTGTCCCTCAATATTTCAGAAAGTTGCGAGCTATGTACTGTGTATAGCAACAAATATGGACAAAATATGCAACACAGACAACACAGTGCATATGTGATCTAGAATGTACACAGTACACATACACTGTACAGATGCAAGAGCATGTAAAAAAATAGAACAAAGAGACCACAGCGCATACACATGCATAGTACTAGACAGGGGTGGACTGACAACTCATGGAGCCCCGGGGCAATAGGGGATCATGTGGCCCCTGTGTCCTTGCCCACACTCAAAAAAGCCTATACAAAAGGTACCAGGGGCATTTTATGGGGCCCCCTACTGACCCCGGGCCCTCGGGCAGTGCCCGAGTGCTCGAATGGTCAGTCCCGCCCTGGTACTAGACATACACAGCATAAACAACACAGACTGAATGTAGTATACTGTATATAGTACACTTTACACTTGGCACGCTAAATGTACCCAATTTACACAGTATATAAGTAGACCTTGCAGCAGAATACTGTATGTACAAACAACCAGGATTGGAGTGGACATATTTTGTTTTTTATGTTTGTATACAGTAGGCAGCCATGGCTAAGACAATGTGGGTCAGCCAATTGTGGTGCTTGTGTCATGGGAATGCAACTGTCTTTGAGCCAAAAAAAAAAGTCTATGGTCCTTTACAGCAGCCATCCACACAAACAGTATGGAAATAAATGTTTGTGGATCATAAAAGATTAAAAAAAAAGATGGAAATTCACATCCTGACATGCAATCTTAGACCTGGCAAGGAGACCAAAACTATATGATATTTTTAATAGGTTTAATAGATTTAATTACGGGATGTGGCAGACCCTCCAACAGAGCATCATAGACCTACAGATTTCGACAGGGCAGGATAGTTAACTATGATAAAAAAAAAAGTTTACAGATGTGTTTTCTGGAGTGCAAGTGAATTTAAAATACTTAGCCACAGGAAATATTGTAGACTACCACTGTGAGGTGGTGAGAGAGATGATATAAAATGTAAAGACCCTTGGAGTGCACCACATTATACTTACCAGCTCATATCACAAGGTATACAAACATATTTTTTATGGCCTAAAGGCTTACAGTATGGAGGCCTTTCATGACCTTATCTATGTGTGTTAATATTATTAAATGATGTTTTAAAGAGATGCCCACAAAAAGCAATCCTCTAAGTGTACAGCTACTTGATGTTGAAAATATAGGGGTCTTTGGCTCCAACTGCCCCATGAACTGGTAACAGCACACCTTACCAGTTCAAAGGGGCAAAAAGAGAGGCAGGTAGTTCTAGAAGAATTGAGCATCCTAGCAGCAGTTTGAATATCCCAGAATTTCACAATTGTTGCAAAACAGCAGCAGGCCAACCAACAAGATGGGTTTTAACTCTGTAAATTTAAACTTTTGAGTACTGTCTGTGATACTTTTTTTATTTGCACTAACATACAATTCTTCAGGACGTGGGGAATGTCCCCTTCTTCAAAGTTCAAGCACTACTGGTACATAAAGTTCTAGCAGAATGTTAAAAAATAAAAGGGAGGAACAAAAACACAAATATACACAACAATGGTAATGAAAGTGAAACCATTCAATCTTTCTACTCCATTTTCTTTCCAAGAACTCTTCCTATGAGTACATTTTATTTATCATTTTCCTTAGCGATAAGCACATATGCCAAAATTCGACTCAATACAATTTTTTTTAATTGGATTTAGGTTGGTGTTGAAGAGTGAAGTGTTGTCTGTAAGCAAAGCTAATTGAAAAAAATACCTGAGCACAATAGTCAAATACTAGTTGCCAAAGTATGCTGTGATTGTTGTTGTCCCTGAAAACTATGGTGTTTCCTAACATCACACCCAGCTGTAAAAAACACTGTCATGAGATATTAATAGAGAGATTCATTACTAAACTCTCCTCTGAGAATGTTGGTTGCCTGGCTGTCATTCTAATGCATTGAATTCAATGCGCTCTGAATCACTAATCTGGAACTGGATCTGGAAGTATAAAAGTAGATTTTGGTACTCATTCACAACAAGGCATGTTCCAGGACTGTGACTGCAACATACTGAAGCCAGCAAGGCATCTAGTAATTGCAGAAGGCGGCCTGCAAAGGCAGCCCCCACTTCTTTCTTGACGCATACGCTGTAAAGCATTCCCTTAAAAATTAATCATCATATTTGTACATCCCGCACACTGAATGGAAGGTAGCATTAAACTGCACAAATCCTATATTTTTAGACACCAAATTGTCATCTAGAAAGAAACACTACCCTTTTGGTTAAAGAGATTAAAGAAGAATTCCAGGGAACAATATTTTTACATCATCATTTTGGTACGTCTTGGGCCCATATAACTATCCATATACTATACCTGTGGAATTTTTCTAGAAGCTGCAAATCATTGTAGGAGACTCCACTACTCCAGTAATCTCCATTTGCTTCTGGGTCCCATGCCAATTGGTTGCCCTGCTTGTTTATAAACAGAGGAGGTCAGCCATTCAGCACAGTTGCCATTTACAAAATGCTGTGCGTTTTGTCAATGGATGCAAAGCATTCTCTGATTGGAAGAGGTAAAGATTGTCCTGTTACCATCCCACTTCATCCAATCCGAGAACTTCATTCAGAAAAAAAGGGGCACCTGTGCCAAGTGGCCAAACTCTCTTGTGTTCAGAATGCAACACAGCAGCAGCTTGGCATGGGACCAAGAAGCCAGTGGAGATCACTGTAATAGCGGTATCTACTACAGTAATTTCCAGCTTCTAGAGGGATACAACAAGTATGGTGTATATGCATAGTTACATTAGCCAAGCTGGACCACTCTATGTAAAAAATATCCATGCCTGGAATTCTTTAAAGGATGACTGAAATACTAACTCAAATTTCTTAGCCCAATCCTACCCATCTTAAATAGTTTTGCTTTCCTTATACAAAATATACTGTATATTACATATTAGATCTCAGATGTAGATATATAGATGTTTTTTGTGTGTAGCGCTACTCCCGAAGGAGTTGCTATAATTTAACAGTCTTTCTCAAAACTAATGCAGATGCAGCCAGACACACAGCAACAGTTCTCTCACTGTTAGCTCAGTAATCAATCTAAGGGATGTCTTTTTAGGATTATTATTGCTTAAGAACTTGAATGGGGTGTAGGATAATATGGAATACTCCAGATTCATTGGATATTCAGAGGAAGTCGCTCTACTTTGTTAAACCTTCCTGAACAGTATCCATGAAGTAACAGGTACTGATGGCAGAATAATTTTTAAAATCTATCCCAGTCAAGACTACCACTGCCTTTTCTAAGGAAACAGCACACAGTTACTAGGACCCTGAGTTCAAATCAATACTCACAATTCCATAGGACCACTGATTCCCTCTTTCCAGCATCCTCCAGGCACTCTTCAATGAGCTCTCCAGACCAGGTCCTTAGGTGAGGGATTCCTTGATTAGCTCCAAAGAAAAAAAAGAGATCTCAAAAGCAGGCCTCGCAACTATACCACAGCTGGGACCTTGATGAACATGCGGCCACTCCAGCTTTCTGCCCAGAGGGGCTGAGCCCCTCAGGCTGGGGACTTCTGTTGTAGGATTGGACCCAGGACTCCAACATTCCATGCATTCTTGTGGAAAGGCGCCTACCTTTTAGACGGATCTAGTCTGTTTATAATAAAAAAAAAAAAAAGGGGGGGGGGATTCGCCCCCATCCATTTAAGTGGATTGGAGGGTAGTTGAGTGTAAACAGACAGCGGACTCCATTTGCTCTTGGCCACCCGTAGAGCAGAGCATGCTCTGTCCATGTCCCCTTTGCAGAAACTGAGCGGACATGGACGTGGCATCCGCCTGCTCTGCTCTGATCTGTGAGCTGATCCCCTACTGATTGCAATGGAATCCACCTCATGTGAAAGGGGCCTTACGGCTTTGGAACTAGTTACTAAAGTGAACTACCAGAAAAGTGACACAACCTTTAGGTTCCATTCACACTGAGCTGAACGTTTTTTAGGTGTTTTTTCGCTTGTTTTTTTTCAGGCGTCTTTGAGCGCTTTTGTTGAGCAGATTTGCAAATATAATAGGCATTTTTTTCAGATGTTTTTCATTTAGGTGTTTTTGCTGTGGACAATAGAAATAGGCGTTTTCAGCTCAAAACAGCAGCTGAAAAAACATTTGAAAAAAAATGCTCATTCCCACTGTTCAAGCATTTTCCATTTAAATTTTTGAGTGACAGGCATTTTGCTTCAGGCGACGGAACACTCGTGTGAACAGGGGCCATTAGAAATAATGGGATTTTACTTGTTGAGCGCTTTTGAGCTTCAAGCTGAAAACCACTCAAGTGTGAATGGAGCCTAAACAACAACCAGACAAGGAATTCTTTTTATTTGGGTTTTTTTTTAATTTGTGGTTTTATTTTTCTCTTAGATCATCATTTAGTATCAATCATAACAGAACATTAGGCTGACAATTGGGTTCCCAATGTGGGCAGAACCTACTCTTGCTATCAATGATGCCTGTTTGAGTGATCGGTTTGGAGAACTATATTGCATAATACTGTATGTATGCTTCTGGTGCAGAAAACAATCTTTATAAGTATTGTAGAGCTGCAGCACAGTACAATGTAGTATATATTTAAAAAGTACTGTATACTGCAGCAGCTTGGGAGAGAGGCTGCAGTCCCCGTTTATTTTTGCTGACCGCCCTATAGCAGTTTTACTGCAACAGGGCAGCCGCTCTGCACAGAATTGCATATATATATCTATCTATATAGATATATATATCTATAATAGATATATATATATATCTCTAGGGGGCACGCTGTAGATGTCAATCACCGGGTCCCGGCCAGCGATTCATGGGCTGGGCTTGTCGAACGGTGGAGCAACTGACAGGAGAGAGATCTGTGAGTGTAAATAATACAAATCTCTTGTCAGTGGGGACGTGCTGGTTTTTATCTCTCTGCAAAGCAGGAAGATAAAAACAAATGCACATCCCCTAGTAAAACACAACAAATTACATAGTTGAATCACTCCCTAACACACACTTAACCCTTTGATCACCCCAGATGTTAGTCCTTTCCTGCCCAGTGTCATTAATACATTGTCAGTGCTTTTTATTAGCACTGATCACTGTATTAGTGTCACTGGAGATGTCAGTGGCAGTTGGTTCCCACCCAATAAATAAAAAACAAATTCCAGTGTATATACCATGGTTTGTAGATGTTATAATTTTCTTGCAAACTAATTAATATACACTTATTGAGAGTTTTTTTTTTTTTACCAAAGACGTTGCAGAATGCATTTTGGCCTAAGTTTATGAAGAAATTTTATTTTTATTTTTTTTGTTATTGAATATGTTTTATAGCAAAAAGTAAAAAATATAAT